TATATGTGTATGTATATATGTATATATATATATATATGTGTATGTATATGTTATATAAATGTTCCTCTCAAACCTCTTTTTTTCTTTTGCAGATTGTTTTCTCTATCCTTTCACATGGCTATATAAATACACAGGCCAAGAACAGATACAGTTTCAGTGGTAGCAGCTGCACAAACCACATATTAAGTAGGTGATTTTCTCTGAGCATGAAAAAAACACAGTGTCCTGTGCTGCAGAGCTGAGCTCTCATAACCACATCAACATCCTTTCATGCAATGGAAGAAATTTATGTCAATACTGAACATCTCAAATGTGTCAACCCAACACATTCAACAAATCACACAGGTAAGAAAGAAGTGGGGTCAAAAAAAAAAAAAAGATAATGGGTGTTTTAACATCTCTACTGTTTTACACTTTGTTGGGGTCCTTGTTTTATTTTATATATTTATTTATTTTTCCTGTCTTTTCAGGTCGAAGGAGCTCTAAGAGGAGTTTGTATTTGGTTATTATTTTGTGTCTGAGCCTGCTGAGTGTCTTCCTGTTGGCTGGACTTGTCACTCTTGGTTTCCTCTGTAAGTTGTGTTGGTTATTGATATCTGTTCTAATGATCACAAGCTTTTCTTTTTCTTTTTTGGATAGCCCATAGTTTACCATTTTCTAATGAAATATGGTAAACTTGGTAATGTTTACACAAAGTAAGACAAGTAAAACAGTTTAGGATAAAATGTTTTATAGGATAAAATTAATCAGAAGAAGTCAGAAGCAGTCAAAGAACAAATGCCTGGTGTTGTCTGAGTCTCAAAAACATGTCTGTTTTAGATCATGATTCAAGCAAACTTCTGTCTGCTAATAACCAATTTTCCTCAATGAGTGAGGAGAGAGACCTTCAAAATGCAAATGTCTCTGCCATGAGTGACCAAATTTCTTCCATAACTGAGGAGAGAGACCTGCTGCAAGCTGACCTCACTGAAATGACCAAAGAGTTGGAGAGGCTGCAGAGTTTGTTCAACCAGAGTGAGTCCTTGTCTGAGCTGTTGTATGTCTTTGTAAAAGGGTTTACTGAGCGTTCCTGTTTCTTGTAAATTCACATTTACAAAACAAATATGACTGGTACAAAAAACACATTCCTTCCTGGAATACATTTCTTTTCGGTTTTGAGAATCACTTGTGTTTAAGCTGGGCTCTTGTTTTCATATTAGCGGTTAGTATTTTCACTGGTTATGTATTGTTTTCTCTGTTCGCAGTTTCTTTTATATTCTAGTTCATATTCATAGGTGGTATTCTAGCTGAGTCTGTCATGGTCCTGCGTCCATGACTCAGTGATTTTGTGTTTGTGTTTTTTATTGTTATTATTTTCATTATTATTCGTGGGCTGTTTTGGGATGGTTTGTGTTTTGGGATTTCAGATACTGGGTTCTGGGGTTGTGCTCCCTCTATTGGTCCCTGGTGTTAGTGTTCCCCTGTCTCGTCAGGTTAATCAGGTCCAGCTGTGTCTCCCACCTGTGTGTGATTTCCCAGTGTCTCTCTGTGTACTTATAGTGTGTGTTTGCCTCTGTTCCTCGTCGTGTCGTCTGTGTTCATACTCTGTGAAATCCCCTGCGTGCTCTCCCTGCTGTTCTCCCTTCATGTTCAGGTTTGCTACTCCTTGGTGTAGTTTCTCCCAGTTTAGTTCATCCTTAGTTCTGTTTTGCCATCTCCACTTTATGTTTGGTATTGTTAATAAATCGCCCTCACGTCTGAGTAAGTACTACATTTGAGTCCTCCTTCCACTCTTCACACGGCCGCTGCCCGAGCCGTGACAGAGTCTATGTGCTTTGGTTATGCAATATTTGTTTTTTCTGTCTTATAGTCATATCTCCATGTCTGTCCAGTTTCCCTGTTTAGTTGTGTCAGGTTTGTATGTCTTAGTCCTGGCCTCAGTGTTAGTTACTTCCTTTTTTATTTACATAGTCTCTCATCCCATGTGCCTTATGATCCTTCCCCATTATATTATGTTATGAAATGTGTATTACATTTGTCTTTCAGTATTTTAGCCTTGCAACTACTCAGCCAAAACTGAACTGACCTAGTCCGCACAGGCATGCTATAATACTTCAAATATAACTTGGAACTCAGACGTTTAGGTGATAAGTTACAGCGCTGATGTGTGTGTGTCTTTTTTGTGCCATGATTATCCATAACCATGATTTTAATTGCACTTTGGAGAATGAACCCAGATCAAGCTAACACCAGAAACAAAAATGTTTGGGGGAATGAAGCTCCTTAATTATGCTCTTTCAACTTCCTAAATCACACATTTTTGATAATATAACAACATCTAGTGTCTAACTATTTCTTTTGGCTTTGGCATTAGGTGATGTAATGGCTGGCAACAGACCATCACCGCAGTCAAGGTGTAATTTGTGAGCCACTGTCAAGCGAGTGACAATTTGATCTCACTAAACAAAATCAATGGAATATGATAATAGACTGAAAAAGAAGTCCAGAGGAATTAAAATTCTTTTCCCAGTTAATTAAATAGAGATCTAAAGATCATTACAGGTTATTTGCTGGTCTGGTGTTGAGTCGCAAATTGAAGAGCTGGTTCAGCTGCCACTCTGGTTAAAAAGGAGTAGGCTCCTGCATTCAGATGTCAATTAAATGTCCAAACACAAAAATCACAAGAGAAGAGCAGAATTCTATGCCAGTTGTTTTATTGAACAACAAAGTTCAGCAAAACATAGGAAAAAGGAAAAAGCTCCCCCGGGGTGTTTGCCGCATGCGCACGCAGATCAGAAATCACACAAAACAGACAATAGCGGACAAAAAAGGTTCCCAATGCATATCGGACTCATCTTATATAGGGACAATGATCCCCCCTCCCATTTTTAGGTATACTATCATCCTCTATTTTTTCCTTTTCATCTTCCACTTATGATATACACGACCCTACACCATAACGTCTTGAAAACCAATCTCATCCATCACTGCATAGGGTCCCTTTGTCAGCTTTATGGCCAAAGTGAGTCTGGAAGTCTACAGAAAGGCAGTTAATCAGTTAATCTATCTAATACCTTTGTTGAGCATGCATGCTAGACATAAGCTGCTATCCATGCTGAGTATGGGTTATTTCATCGCCTTCTTGGTGTTTGAGGCGAGAGCAAGAACTTGTGCCTGCTGCAGAGGCCAGGTTTGTTTTGCTTATCGAAGTATTGAAAGGCTGTACGCTTCTGGCTTTAGTCATTCACAGAGCCGTCTGCTTTTACCTTACAGCCGTTCACATAACTGGATGCTTTTATCTGGCAGCAGGAAGGAGCCCTATGTTTTTTCCTTATAGCCGTTAGAGGGGCCTATGCATTTATCTTACAGCTAGTTGCGGGGGCTCATGTTTTTTAGCTTATAGCCCCAGAAAAGGCGGCAGGAACTTGCTTTTGCAGCCATCCAAACAACTGCATGCTTCTGTTGTACAGCCAGTTGAAGGGCAGCACACGCCGCAAAGCAGTCCAGTTAAACACAGCTGCATCCTCCCGCTGCACAGCCATCTCAAACCCCTGCGTGCTTCTGCTATAGAATTAAATGCAGCTGAATGCCAAGAAATGTCCCATGCACATACCTTAGCAGTGCCAAGTTGAATTAACCCTTTGTTGGACTAGTCACAGTAGGCCATAAAGCTATCAAAGGTTTCTTTCTAATCCTCACTGTTACATTTTTAAACAGTATTAATCAACATTTGTTCATACGACAAGTAGCACAGATATTTTTCATTAATACAATGGTGGATATATTTAACCTAAATATATGGGTCATGTGATTTGAACATGCAGGTTAAATGCTTAACACAGTGACTCCACTATAAAAACACTACATTGTGAGTATGCATAGTATATTTATGAGTATATATGATTACACACTTTATGAAACTAACTATGATTACATGTCATATGAGCTGTTCGCACTAAAGTAAAAATCACCATCACTTATGCGGGTACCCCTTTGGCGCCAGCTGCAAGGCTGGAGCTGAACAACAACACCCCGATAACGACTTTGTTTAGTCTGTTCCTTCCCATTCCATGCAAGGCCACCTGGGTTGGCTGGAACACTGTTTACTTAGCCTAGCAGGGCGAAGGACACTGTCTCAGCTGAACTCTGGACACGCACACACATACATATACACTGATATGCACACATTCATCCCCCCTCCCTTTCCAAACGCCTTCGACGCTTATTCCCTTCCGATGCTGACGGGGATCAAGGAGACCAGCGCACGCAGGCCCAGATGTACTGTCTAAATCGGCTGTCTCTCACCCTTTACCCACCTGTGTTGCTTGTCATGTGTTTCTTTGGTGTATTAAGAGTTTTTTTTTTTTTTTCATGTGCTATGTGCAGAGGTGTTTTTTTTCTGTTCTCAAACCGATCTCCCTGTTGGAGCTCAGTCTGGGGGGAGTTATTTTTTTTTTCTCCTTATCTTTCCTCATGTGGTGCATTTTCCATTGTTATACCTCTCTGACCTGTCTTCCCCATGTGATGTTTTGTGTAATGTATGTATGGTCGGAGGGTAAGATGGCGCCGCCATCGCGTGCAATAGGTCGGCAGCCTTATGAAATTTCCCCTTGTGGGACTAATAAAGGTATATCAAATCAAATGTCTAGTGCATACAGGTATAAATGTAATGATAAAATCCACAACACTGGATTCTCTTTTGCTTGATGTTTCTTCCAGTGAAAATGTGTCCTACTGGATGGAAAATGTTCAGTGTCTGTTATTTCTTCTCTGGAATCTCTGGTGTCTGGGGTGAAGCTAGACGGGACTGTAGAGACAAAGGAGCAGATCTGGTGGTGATAGACAGTTCTAAAGAACAGGTACAGTGCATGTATATTGCAGTTAATTTATTCATTCATTTTATGTGTTTCTGTTAACCTTTCAACATTCATTCAATATATCTGAACATAAAACCCAGAAACATCTATTATTCGGTCTCACTGTGGAGAGCTATTCTGTATAGTACCAGGGTTATTATAGTTAACTAAAACAAAAAAACTAAAAATAGATGTGACTTTTTTTTTAACTTAACTGAAATTAAATAAAAGCTAGAATAAAAGTTAGGTTAATTAATAGTCATTCTCAATTGCCTAAAAGTGTGAACGTGAGTGCGAATGGTTGTCTCTCCGTCTTAGCCCTGTGACAGACTGGCGACCTGTCCAGGACATACCCTGCCCCTCGCCCTATGTCAGTCTGCATAGGCCCCAGCCGCCCGGCAACCCTGACAAGCATAAGAGGAAAAGAATGGATGGATGGATGGATGGATGGATTGATGGACGGAGAATGAAAATTGGAACTAACTGAAATATTTTTTTGAAATTGGAAAACCAACTAAAATAAATTTAAAAAATATATAAAGCTTAGTTATAGGATAGTTTAGGATTAGTTAGTTTGGTTAAAAATTATTAACATTGAAATAAATAAAAGGAAATAAAAATAAAAATTCATTAGAAAAAATAATAACTCTAGCTAGCACCAGGCATTTTCTGTGAATGTACATATGACTTATTGAAACCCTCAGTCTGCTTAAATAAACATTTTATGTAGTCAGCCAGCTAACGATGGAACAATCAGAAACATGAAGTGAGGAGGAAGAAAAAAGATAGGACAACAAAATGTGTAAAAAAAAACCCAAACAAGCAAGGGAGCTGAAGATGAAGGTATACACTGGTTCTCCACCCTAATGTGACCTGTGTTTAGTTTTCAAGGGGCAAATAAATTTAGTTAATTGTGAGAAATGTGACAAAGAAATTAAGAATTTTCTTTTCATGTATTCAATAGATATGTTTAGACAAAACTAGTACAGACAGCACATGCCAAATTCTGGTTAAAAAATAAATAAAATGTTTTTTTTTATGTTAAACAGAACTTTCTCACTACAATCATCAAAGAAAACACTTGGATTGGTTTGACTGACAATGGAATGGAGGGACAGTGGAAATGGGTAGATGGAACTCCACTGACTCTGTCGTAAGTCTTCACTTTGGTTCAGTTTATTACATTTACTGGATTTCCAGCAGATGTATTTTTTCATGAACAGAGATGTATGCAAAATAATCTCATCCGTAAGCTTACATGTCAGTCGGTTGAGCCAAAATAAGGGCAAAGGGTTAAAGATGGATGCTACTGACTACATGACAATCACGGGCGATTGTGGCTCAAGAGTTGGGAGTTTGCCTTCTAATCGGAAGGTTGCCGGTTCGAGCCCCGGCTTGGACAGTCTTGGTCGTTGTGTCATTGGGCAAGACACTTCACCCATTGCCTACTGGTGGCAGTCAGAGGGCCCGGTGGCGCCAGTGTCCGGCAGCCTCGCCTCTGTCAGTGCGCCCCAGGGTGGCTGTGGCTACAATGTAGCTTGCCATCACCAGTGTGTGAATGGGTGGATGACTGGACGTGTAAAGCGCTTTGCGGTCCTTAGGGACTAGTAAAGTGCTATACAAATACAGGCCTTTTACCATTTTTGGGGGGGCAGAAGAACTCAGTTACGACCTTTTAAGCATTTCATGACAAATACATCGATCCATCCATTTTCTCCACCATTCAGTTTGCACACATGTCTTTGGACTGTGGGATGAAGTGGCAGAGAACCCACACAGGCAGAGAAAATGCAAACTGCACACAGAAAGGACACAGTAGATTTGAATCCATGGAACACTGTTGACAACTGCACCAGACAGTGGGGTCATTGTCATATTTTTTTATAGGGAATTAAATCCCCACACTCAATTTCTTCATCTTACTGATATGTTCTTATATAAAACCTTTGTTCTTTAGGAACTGGGCGACAAATGAACCCAATAATGGAGGCTCACCAAATAGTGAAGAAGATTGTGTGCACATAAGAGCTGAAGATCGGAGGACTTGGAATGATATTTCATGTACAGCTTCTATGAAATGGATCTGCAAAAAACTACCATAACACCACTGTACAGTTTCTTGGAGAGCATATATTTCTACATGTTTTAACTGTTAACTGTGATTCTTGTTCTATTCTACATTTCCATTTTAATGTTGTACTCTGTTCTGACTGCGTACATTTACTATACTGTGTTTTGTTTTGTGTTTTTTTTTAATGTAACCTTTCATTGTTACGCTGATGACCTGCAGGTTTATGTTCCTTTGACCATTTGAAATTGTGCTGAAGTCTCTAAACTAGAATCTTGTCTATCTGCAATTAAGGGCTGATTATCTGATAATTTCTTGCTCCTAAATACTGATAAGACAGAGTTGATGGTCATTGGGCCACAAAAATTTCAGCACTTGTCCCAAAATTTCATCTTGAAAATTGATGACAGGTCTCAGAAATTGCAGGGATAAGGTAAAAAACTTGGGTGTGTGGTTGGACATGGTGCTCTCCTTCGAGTCTCATGTAAAAGAGATAACAAAGACCGCCTTTTATCATTTGAGGAACATAGCCAGAATCAGATACGTTTTGTCAAGCGACACTGCAGGGGTTCCTATCCATGCATTTGTGTCTTCATGTATTGATTATTGTAACGCTCTTCTTTCTGGGCTACCAAAGAAACGTTTCAGAGGTCCACAGATGGTGCAAAATGCAGCTGCTTGCATTTTATCAAGAACTGGGAAATTTGAGCACACTACCCCTGTACTGAGATCTCTTCATTGGCTACTTTGTCAGGTTCAATTAGATTTTAAGGTCCTGCTGCTCACCTACAAGGCTTTAAACGGATTGGCACCTCTGCGACCTTTTACACCTTTAAGTTCCATCCAGTGCTCCACGATCTCAGGACTCTGGCCTTCTAAAGGTTCCTAGAGCCAGAAAAAAGACCATTTTTAGTTTTTAAAACTAAGTGGAAGACACATTTGTTCACCCTATCCTACATGTTTTAATTCTATGGCTTTTAGTTTTTTAAATT